TGATAAATTAATAATCTGATGCAGTGCCATTGATAAGGAAGTTTTATGGCTGTATGTGTTGGCGACGAGAACTGAAGCATATTTTGTTAAGAAGATTGTGAAGAACTGAAAAACGAGCAATTCTAAAAAAATATGTGGGAATACAGTTCATAAGACTTATTCAGCCTTATCAATAAAGCAGCTCACTGGTGCTTAGAATAAAGTGCAAACCGACACTTACCAAGTGGGAAAGCAAAGGTTTCACAGTCAAATGATGCTACACACCTCCGCTCCTTATATTTTACCTTCACCAATCGTCTGCGAGAAAAGCTCTTTAGCTATGGTGAGCTGCTCTTAAAGGCACGGTCCCCGATCAGGTATAGAAGTTGAAAGTATGGCGTCGGGAGGTAGTGTGGTCCGCGACGAACAACCTTGTACCGGTTTCGCGGCAAAAAATTGTGAAGTACAGTGACGCCTCCTTTTTTCCAATGACTCCGCCCCCAGTCAAATTCCCGCCTTCCAGTGGAAATCGTAGGCTGCAGGAAGAAAAAGCATGAAAATTGTCACTTGTTCAGTCGTAGAGTTCTTATCGGGGAATGGGCGTAGTGTTGGAGATGGAGTTAATTGGGCACGTACAAACTGGGATCGAAATGGGGTTCTATCTAGGGCAGGTGGCATGTTTTTTCTGCTTTTTTTCTTCACTGTCGAGTTACTCAACACCTTGTCGTCTATATGCAAACCCCTAATCCACTATCTGTGATGGCGAATGATCGCGGACTTTGCCTTTAAGTCTGAAATGGCATTCGGCGGTAGGTCACCTTATCTTTGACTTTCCAGGCTCCGACGAAGGCGACTAGGCCGAAACGTCAGCCGAAAAGCCGTCATCAGCAGTCATTAATAACTTGGCTGTGGTATGAACATTTAGTCCAGAAGACATTGCAAAACAATATCCGAAGACTTGAAAAGAGGCTAAAAGTTGAAGTTGAGGAGAGATATCCGACTTCAGGAGAAAACGTAGTATTAAGAAATTTCATTCGCAGGCACAGCAATCTATATCGATAAATATAAAGAAATAAAAAGAGTGGACTATTTTCACTTTCAAATTCACCATTTTTCAAACCAATTTCACCACTTTAATTCAATTCAATTCACCACAATTCACTCGGAACAAATAAATCAGGCAAAGTTTGTTCCTAATGACCAGCAATACCCTTGCCATGCAAGCCATGGCTCTATACTGCCGATTTGCACCATTTTTGAAAAGTGGGCGGGCTTCTCCGAAGCGGGCGGAGCCTCTCATGGGGGGCGGGGCTTCAGTCCAAAAATGCAAAAATTTTGAAAAAAATATCATAATTCCGCAAACAGCAAGTGGGCGTGGCCAAAGGGGCGGAGCCTAAATTGCCGGTGCATGAATGCGCGTCTACGAGTACCTTCGTTGTGCGAAGAGTGGATGTGAAATTAAAAATTGAAAAAGTTATGAAGATTTGAAGTTCGCAACAAACTTTAAAGAATGGGCGGAGTCAGTCATGTGTTGAAAATCTATGTCCGCGCTGACAAGTAGGCGTGACCGTCGGGGCAGGGTTCGCGGTGGTGTCTGGCGTGATTTGGTTGGTGAACTGCCTGGTCTAAGAAGAGTGGTGAATTTGGTTTGAAAAGTGGTGAATTTGCTTTGAAAAGTGGTGAATTTGGTTTGAAAAGTGGTGAATTTGAAGTGAAAATGGTATAAAAAATAAATAGAGAATAATTTTCAAAAATCAATTCAAGGATCAAAAATCAGCTAAACGATTAACAACTAATAAAGATAAATAAACTAAATGGGAAACTGTTTATTGTAAAAAAAGAAAGATGTCATGGTATAGAGCGAGAAATTCTTCTATGAATACAATAAATCGTATGCTGGAGATGTTGAGTTCGGCTGGACATTTCATTTCAGTATACGTATTCCGTGGAACATTTCTGTTTGTAGACAGCTGTCATCCTGTTCTGCTGGACAAAGAGATGATTACAGTTATCCTAAAGCGGCAATATCCCTTCAAGGCCGCTGTGACCAAATGAAGAATGCAGCCACGCCCTGCCTACCTGCGTGATATGAAGTGCACTTCAGAATGCAACAATGCTTGCCTGCTAATTGGGAACGTCGAGGTGATGTAAAGTACATTCCAGCACAGGTATAGCACGGAACTTTACTTGTCATGAGTCAGAAAATGACGTGTTATCTCAGCCGTTAATAAAATTAAGTGTCACCTAACCCTTTTGACGAGGAAACGTGTGTCATATAGCCGTCAATGAAGTCTCAGGACCCGACATTAACATGTTTTGTGAGGTCGATGACACGTCATGCCTTCTCACAGGTACAGTAGTGGACGGCGAGCCTGTGCTGTATCAGCGCTCTCATTTCTCACTTGATGCAAAACATACCTGTTGCAAAGCATACCTGCGTACTAGAGCAGCCGCGGCTGCTCGATGTGGTGACATCAGAGAGAAACTGTGCACTCGTCTCCGATAGTGATCCTTGACATGTGCGCTAGAGAGCAAGGGGTCGGTGCAGGAGGGTGGGTAATGATATCCGGGTCTTCCCGATCTCTGTTCTCAAGATGTAGCATTTGCGTAGACAGCAAAATTCTGCAGCGAACACGCAATCAGGGGGTAAAGAACAACTAGGTGGGAGAGGGTCAAACGAGCAGAAGCAGCTCGTTTGGTTCGAGTTGTGGCTGCTCGTAGGAGTGGGCGTAGTCCAGAAACGTTGCAAGGGTATCACTACCATCCAGCCCCATTCTCGTGTACCTTTGAGCAGAGAAGGTGGCACTACTGCAGTTCACCCATCGCATCCTTTCATCTCGCGTGTCTTAAGGATCAGAATACCGGCGGTGAATACAGTTGGCCTCAAAGTAGTCACAGATTTTGTTGGAAAGTACCTCGAATTCAATGAGCATTCCCAAATGAAGAGGAATGGCTGAGATGAGTTAGCTCTTAACACACATGAGTTTATGAGATGTTAGGCGCTAGATAGAATGGTTCCGTATTTTCTTGCAAACAGGAATACTTAAAAAATGGTGCTGTCACGGATAAATCATTTAAACATCACATCGTCACCACCTCTCTTATCAACAGGTGTGGCTCCAAGTTAGCAATAAAAATCCGTCGTTGCTAACGTGTCGTTGCTTCTCTTATCACCTTTCACTTCAAGTGATGCGGATTACTGTTCTATTAGGCAAGTGTTTTTAATTTACCTTTTAATAAACATATTATACAACTTACTATTTTTCTCGTATTCTACAGTATTCTCTCACTGGTTCCCTGATTCCATTCACCTTGGAAGTACCGTACCTTACCATCCGATGTGTGCTCCTGTTTTATTTGCTCTGCCCGTACATCTACTTCTTCAGCAGCTTCTTTATAGTACTTTTCGCATAATCTAATCTTTTGACTGCCTTTGAAGCAATTTCTATTCAAAATAGATAGACTCCACTAAATACGCCTCGGTGCAAAGGTTCGCCTTGTACGCCAGAAAATAGTGTGGATTTTTCCTCCTGATGTGGGTTTCTGGAGAGTATAGCGACGACAGGCATCGCGATGACCTGACTTTTTCGGGGTATAGCCGACGCGCAAGCTACCACCGTTTGCACCTGACTTTTTCCCTGACTGAAGTCCTAGCAGCTGCTGGAATCAGCAGAAGATTGCCGCCACATCCTTTAGTGGCTGCGAGAAAAACGCCGATTACATCATCGAATGCAGTGATTATTCATGAGTGAAAACACTGCTTCATGGCTTACTGGCAAACTCTGATATCTGTCGCTGCAAAAATTTATTTTTCACACCATAGCCATCTCAGAAGATATACTGCACAAAATGAAACCAAAAAACCTTTTTCTACTGCGAAAATATGAATCCCTACTCGTTAATGTCCCAGTTCCTTTACCTCCGAATGACAGAACACACGTTTTTCTTACTTCTTTCTTTACCTAAGACTCTGTTCTTTTAATTTACTTTATTTTTTCACTTTCCTTCACTTTCTTCTTCTTCTTTTGTACTTGTGAGTGGATACCAATTAAAGTGAGTGGCGTTCGATCGATTTTGCCTCACGGCGCCGCCACGTTGCATAGTCTCTATTCAGTTCGCAGTATAGCGACATACTTGAACCTGCGAACAAACGTTTTGAGCCACATTTCTGTGTCGTGACCGTACTCATGTAAAACTAGGAGGTATAGCTCTAGGCACCATTCGCAGTGCATTATACTCGGAGCTACCCAGGATGCGGTAGGCCTGCTGGCGCACTTTAATAGAACGCGGGTGGCAAGCCTAAGCTTTCCTGAGCCTATTCTTATGTTTTGGCGACACTTGTAATAGCGTCTTTGTCCAACATAGAACAAGTTGACAGTTGTCGAAATACCCCACGAGTATCCATCCCATGCCATGATCAGATGACACGCCTACTCCGTTTTAGGAATAACGAGCTGACTCACTTCAAATTCGCTTGCCTATTTGGGCACTGTATGAGGGGCTTAGCGGAGTTTGAGTGTGTGGCCACGGCTTCTACGCAGAAAATAGCCAAGTTACGTGGTCGATAAATCTTGAAAGGTACAAAATATGGAGCCTTAGAAATGAATGAACATCCAGCACGGCGAAAAGATATTCCGGCAGAATTGAAGTTTTGAAACATCGAATATAAGGATACTATTCTCTGGGAGAGCAAAGTGTGGCTTTCAGAGCAACTCCCTTTTAAGAACTTAGGAAATTGCAATTAATTAGGCATCCGCAGCACAAACACTGCTTCAGTGCTTTTTCCCCAGCAGACTTTTTTACATCTCCTGCTCAGCTCATTGAATTTTGCTGGTTGGCTTTCTCGTCCTGTGACCCCCGACACGATCCCCGCCGTCGAGGACTCCGGGACAAACTCAACCCTGGCGGCATTTAGCTGGGTCGACAAACAACTTTTAAACATCTCAATGAACATAGAAACTTAGCAGGGACCTTGAGTTTCTGATGAGCATTCTTGCAGTTTTGTAGCAGAAAGTTTTGGCAAGGCTTGTTAGCTATCAACAATTTTTTAAATGTTTGCCTCTATTTAGTTGTACATAGCTCGGCACCTGCCTACCCGTGTAGCCAGATTCCTCGTTGGCACGGTCAATTTATCTTTTGCGTTCATTCGAGACGAGCTGATCTTGGATTGAAGCAATCAGGTTTGCAGTTACAGGGTGATAATTCCTCTTATGTCTTAGTTTATTAGCCCAATTTTATTATACTTTCATGTCGATCTCGAGCAGATGCCAATGCATGCTACATATTTTTCTTCCCGACACCAGTCATTATCGGGAAATGTTATCAGTTTCTCGTACTTGACATTCGCTACTTTTACTTTTACACAAATTGTCTCTCAGGCTTACAGTTGTCACATGACAAGGGTCTCTCATTCACCCAATCAGTAGAAGCTGTAGAAGACACAGTATGCATTCACTCAATGCAAATCCCATTAGGATGAGGTAGTCGCTGGTATTTGGTCGCTAAGGAAGACATATTTGGGTCGTATTTGACCACCTTCCAAAATCTTAGGATGTCATTCATTGTCTAGACTTATTTTTTGCAGCGCCGCGATACAATCCCCTCCATCCCACCTGCTAAGCGGCAAATATTTGGAAACTATAATATTTATTGGGAGCCAGATGTTAGAGGTGGTCAGTGTGCTACTTACAAGCCACACGGTGGGTCACGAAATCCTCGTGTATGGCCAGCCTAGTCAGAATTTCCTAGCGTGGTCGACGTGGGCTACTGCTTACACTTTCTCGTTTCAGCGATTAGCCTTCCGCTGAAGAATACAGCCGGGCACGCGGTGCCGCGCGAAACGACGCTCTCGATAGCGTAGTTCACTTGATGCACACGCAATGTAAAAAAAAAGAGAAAAATAAATTGGAAGAAGGAACCGGTCCATTTTTGCGACAGTCTGCAATTAACGGGTTATATGGCAGGAATTTAATGCTCATTTTCCTAATCTTTTAAATGAACTTTACGGCATGCTCGAATGTATCCTATCTTAATTAGGGAAGTTGCACTTGAAAAAAACCTATATGATTGGTAATCGATACATTGGACTTTTTAATTTCATTGGAAAAAAAACTAGAAAATTAGTGAGTCTCAAGGGGAAAAATGATTTTGCTGCCTATACTAAATCCTTCAATCGCTGAATTTCATTTGCGGATAAAAATTTACACGCATGAAGAATTGCAGAGAAATATTGTTCATGTACTACAGCACTTTCACATGTGCTGCTATACTACTAGATTTCACATTTAGTACTCAATGGAGGCGATCAAGATTGCCAATTCAATTTGACCTACAAAGATGACTATGACAAACCACTTCACACAGAATCATTTACTGCCAGCAAAGGCTCCACTGAGGTAAGCGAACCACTTCTTGAAAATTGGCGTGTCGCTCTATGATATCTGACCTTTCAAAAATTTCTTCCATTTCATTTTTGCGCTTTCTTGCACTGTTTCATTTTGCACCTGTGTGAGTTGCTTTTTATGCGTACTTCATGAATCTGGTTTTCTCTCTTCATTCAGTTCACCTTCTAGTGAGCCTGAAGAACGTGAACTCCTGTTCCACTGACAGGATCTCCTAATCAAACTCCTGTTTTTCATCGACCACCTAACGAACGCGAAGTAACGTCTTACATCCCCCACTCACAAACTTGCCATTGTCCTCATTTCTGTACTTGTCTTAGTGCAAGTCACTTGCGGGCTTCCTGAACTGGCCCATATTTGTCATACTTGTCTCATCTGACTTATACATCGTTACCTTTGTCCTTTCAAAATTTAGAGCTCGTGAAGCTCATATTCTTGTGCACTTCTTAAAGCATGCGGTCCTGTGTCGATCATTGCACGATTTTTAAATTCCGTGAAATGCAGTCTCAAACTCTTAGGCATTTGAATATGGAAAGCATAGATTCGTGAG